ATATATTTAATTTATCGTACTCGTTTTATATGTATTATTATGTATTGTTTATGTTCCTGATGCATAAGTTAATTTTAAATAAAAGTTACAAGGCAAAACAAATTTCAATTAGATTGCCAAAATTATAAGAAATAATAATAAAATAAAATTTGTAATCATATACGTTTCATTGATGATTTCGAGATATTCCCTCGAAAGAAAATTTCCAAAGTATAACAGATTGGTCCTATCCTTCGGCTCTGAATGTTCTTTATGGTACTGTTATAGGGGTGAGAGGGAGAGATATAAAAGCTCGAAATATATGATCGAAATATACCATAAAGTTTCTTGGAGTGCATCTACTGTTTCAGCAGATGAATCTGCGTCGCCCGTTTTCCGCAGGCCATCCATAGAGAAGGATTTCAATTTCGTTTCTTTGCCGGCTTGACTTTTCATAGCTAGACCAGAAAGAAAATCTTGGCAAAAGACGAAGGAAGGGGGAAGAGAAAAGGGAGTCGCGGTAGACGCGCTGTCGTGGATAAACGATCGAGATAATGGACTTTATAGTCCTTACGGATCTCGCGGCCGTTGCATAAATTCCACCGCCCGTATAATGTAAAGCTAATATGTCGGTTCTTTGAACCACATCTCGCAGTGGCTGGTACGGTTGGTAGCAGCGAATAAAAGCGGGCGCGCAGGTAAGGTAAGGTTGGCGGTTGGAGACAGGCAGAAGAGCGACAGGAATAAAGGAATAAAGAATGGAAAAAGAACGGAGAGGTAACAGAGGGCGAGCGGTAGGAAAGACTACCGGAGAACGCCTGGGAATAGTAAATTTCCGTTGCGCCGTGGCATTGTTATTAGCATACAAGTATTTAGAATGAATTATGGGCCAGGTCGCTTATTCCCGAGGGTGGATATATTCGGTACAGACACTCCGGGCGTTCTTCCTACGTCAGGTGTATCCCTCAGGAGGTAACATTATGTCGTCTTGCATATTTTATCCTTTCACTCTCTCGGTCTCTCTGACACGTTCCATCGCGAAAGGGAGCAAAGAGAGAGAGCAGAAAAGGAAGGAGCGAGTGTGCAAACACGCGTGGGCATTTAAAACCGCGACGTTACCTTACGTTATACGTGCGAAAGGTGCAACGTGAGTGGCTGGTCACGAAGCACGACGTCTTCCCTCTTCTCATCCTTCATCCGCACATTCTATCTGCGTTCTAAGTCGTTTGAAATTTATAATCAGTTTACTCAAAGCGATGGATCCATTCCGTAATTCACGTAGACAACGTTAATTAAAGCATAATAATGTTTGCGTTGCGGCTGTTACAATCTGATCTGATAAATAGTCTACATCTGTTAATCGTTGAGCTGATATTCTGATTAAACTACTTTTGTTTAGAATCGTAACTGACATTTCTTCGATACCGAGGGATCGATAAATTAAAAATAATTAAAATTCGCTCGTGTATATTTTATTCACAAACTGTAATAAATATATCAAGTTGTAAGAAAACAGTTACTCATTCTTTTCTTTTCCTCTTTTTTTGTTCCTTCTCATATATATTTTTTTTTAAGGAAGTGTCTCTTTCGGTACATTTTTTTCAATTTATTTTTCTACTTTCTTTTCTTTTCTTTTTTTTTGTGAAACTGTCCATCCGATAGCGATATACGATCGCATGCGGCAATTAGAAAGCCATTATCTCATGGCCGTGCGCGTGCACGGCTATTGTGCAACAACTGCGCGTAGAGGGTGGAAGAAGAGTGTTAGATTCCCATGGAGTTTCTACACCTCCTGTCCGGGGGTAGATAGATGTCCGGCAATCAGGTGCTGGGACCCCCAACCGTCTTTTGAATCCGTCGGCCGGCAGCTGGCTGATACGTTCTCGTTGACGCGGAGCCATCAACGTATCTACGGCCCTCCCGCTGTTTCGTTTTCATGTTTGGACATCGACGGGGATACGAGCTTAAGAGGAACCGTGTCCGAAACACCGGAAGTACTCTTTAGAACCAAGGGGCCAGGATTTTTTCGAAATTAACCGTGAACGATGTACGTCACGTTTAAAAAAAAAAAAAAAAGAATAGCAAAAATGTAGGAAACGGATCTAACAGTTAGGATCGCAAAATCGAGAAACTTTTATTTAATCCGAAACACTCTTACACCCTCTTTAAGTTTCTTCGGCTATATCACGCAGATATTAAAGAAAATATTTTCTTCCTTGACTCCGTTTTAGCTACTGAAATATACTCTCTCTAAAAGATACTTTTTATTTCATTATATTTTTATGTTTTTTTATATTTTTATATTGAAGCGGGGTTGGCAATAATTTAGATGAATTTCTCTACACACACACGCACACATGGATTCCGCGTGTGAGTGGCGTATATTATAAAATTTACACAGCATTATTACTCGTAACATAATGAACGACGCAAATGCATGACAGTGTAGGAAAGTTTCAATTATATAGATAGCCGTGATGACGATGGAGATTTACGATGATGACGGTGTGTCATCGCGATTCTGCACGACACTCGCAGCAGCAGGCGATTCTGAAAATGATAGCGCTGGAAATTCATAGTGGCGGCTACATACGCGCGGTTCACCCAGCCGCGTTAAATTCAGCCGTAATAATGATTCGACGATCGTGCACGTTCATTTCCGAGGAGTTAATATTCAAAATGAACATTAACAGAGAACGCACGCTACCGTTAATCTCCAATGGCATGTGGGACCGTTTCACGGTGCGCCGGAGGTCGCTTTACTGCATTCGCGTTAATTATGCAAATGAATAATTAGCATTTCGATTATTTCGGTAACGTCACTGTCTACGTCGCGGAAAATTTATCGCGTCGATATTAATTTATCGTTCTACTCTCGCATGCTCGAGCCGACGGAATTTATCATCTCCACGTTTCAATAATGCGAGACGAACAATAAGTATCGATCATCGAGCTGTCGTCTATGCGAGATTAATAAATAACTAGACGATAATTTATGATCGTTGTCCATCGACGTCATCTTCGATCGGTTCATCAATTCCGCGGAAAAATCATCGAAAGAATCGTAAAATTTATAAGATGTCTTGTCTCGTAATGAAGATATTATGAATCGAGGTTAAAGATCGCGAGACTGTCAAGCACGCTGTCGTAGGCTGTCGACTAATCACGGACGAGGGAGCGGGAAGAAGGAAATTAAAAGATTTTTGGATTCGCAATCGGAGAAATTTGTGATCCCCGACGGAGGGACGCGAATCTACGAATATTAATCGTTCGAATTTACCGTCGAAAGGTTCTCGCATGAATCGAAGAGTGATCAATGCGAACCGATTCGAAGTGACTGCAGAAATAAACTGTTAGCCTCTATGAATATATTCATATCCCCTTATCAATATTCAGAACCTACTTTTCCTGACTACGCTTAAATCCACTAAAATCGAACGATGCCGAACACGCTCGGTATTTGACAGAATGAGGCACGATCTTCGATTTCTCATAACGACAGTTTATGCCTTCTCGATTCGTGTTCCCATTCCCGAAGGCGTTGAGATATATGAACGTAACCGTAATGATGATTTTCTCTCTTTCTCCGTGTTTGCTCCTCGTAGCAGGACACGCGCTCTTGACACATGTATTTTCACGGAAAAAAATGACCCACTCGGAATTCGTCCAAATGCATTAACTATTCCAGTAATTGGCAGTAAACACACGTACAATTAATTTACTCGAACTTGGCACTGGTTCGGTAGGAATCGAAATCAGATAGAAATGGAGAATCGGAGGCTTCCTTGGACCATTTCCAATTCCGTTCGACTTGCTTCGCTCTCTTTCATCCGTCATTGCCTGTTGCGTTATTTTGCTACCTCGAAAGTACGTGGATCCGGAAATACGTGAGTCGTATTTTAAAGGCCGTGAAGATTAAAGAACTCTTGGCGAACCAGTCCACGTCTCGATCCAGAGGATTTAAGCCGGCTCCAACAAATAGATTGCCGCGCTAATGGATGGGAGTTCCGATTTGATATTACCTTTTCCTATCCCGGCGCTTCAGGCAGGAAATTAGCAAGTCTTAGGAGATCTCCTGTTAATCGTCGGGGTGATTTCTGCGGCATCGCTTTCGGACAATTTGCCGCGACGAAATTTCATTTGTCCCCTTCCTTCCGCATGCCAACAGTCGTCGACGAACCCTTCGAGGGTCTCTTCTCGCTAATCCACCTTATTCACTCTTTATCTCCTTCCATTCGACTTTTCCTAACACTCGCTTTTCGTCGGAAATGGAGCTTACAGAATTAATCGGCGTTACCCCGAGTCCTTGCCCGAAATCCATGGAACGCTTCACGGTTTCACCACGATTACTTCCAGAATGAAAGACGACGATGAATGACAACGAATGAAAAGGAAAATCAGATTTCAATCGATGCGTCTTGGAATCGGATTAGGAAAGAATGAACTCGTATAAAATTCCGATCACTATGAAACATCTTAGCCGACGTAGAAAAATCTTTTTGAATAATTTTCTCATTTTATGTCAAGCTAAATTGAAGCGTAGAAAGAAATACTTCTTCTTTATCAAAGAATTACTAAAGATATTGTTTGAGATAAATCATGATTGTTCATTTTGTTTGACAGGTGTAGCGATTACAAATAATTTTGTTGGAGTAAATTTATTAATAATAATTTTGAACTACCCAAGTTTGTGAAACTGTTTTGAAATAAATGCGCGATTTTAATGCATAAATTCCAAAGAATGCAACGGAAATCCATTGTTTTCCCGCATCGATGATTTATACTCAGCAATTTCTCAATAATTACAGAGGTATCGCGACAGAATTACACGCTGTTTTGAATCGTATCGATAGCGCCCGCGCGATTCCCTTCGATAATTTTCGCGTCGCAGCTGCGTGCATTTCGCGTTCATTTCCGTTCTCCGTTTCACGTTCGTCACTCGTCAACGAGCGCGCGCATAATTAAGAAGGTGTTACGATATCGGGGAACGTTATAAGAGGAGAAAAAAAAATTGTGCTCACCTTATTACTGTATATCCCGTATCCGCTCGGATGTTCTTAGCGACGATACGCGCACACACCAAGGAGCACCAAAGAAATCATCGATCACAATTAGTCTCTGATAGATCCTCTCTCTCTCTCCTTCTCTTCGTATGTTCCTCCACTTGATATAAATTTATAGAAAAATTTCACTCGTTCACTTTGACGGGGCGCTATATATTTACAAGCCTCTAAGATTACACCAAATCTATTACGTATTAGAGGGCGATGACACGAAAGTATCCATTTAGAAAAATGCAAAACGACCGGCGGCGCGTCTCGATTGCGGCGACGTGTATCACCGGCTATCGGTGGCCCGCGTATCTTTTCACACCAGGTCCCCACGAGGTCCCCATTGAGGAAACAACGCGCGACGCGTCCGTCCCTTCGTGCGAGGCGCACGACCAGCCGGAGAGGAACGACGTACCAACTAACACCGTACCGTCACGGCGCCACGGCACTAACTGACAGGCTGACGAGAAACTCCAGTTGGTCGTCGGCGGGATTGGCGAGGAGAGGGGAAGTAAACCCGCGCGGCTCTAGAGAGAGAGACGGAGGAAGAAAGAGAGAGAGACCTTCTCTCATACGGTCTCGCGTCCTCGTCCGCTCGCGTGCAGCCTCTTCCTCCCTCTTGCGCTCTCGCCCTCCGTCACCATCTAGTGGTGGATCGACGTACCCTGGCGAGCGCGCGCCGGTTCACCACCCCCTGTGGTGGACAGAAGGGAGGGAGCGAAACGAGCACGTGAGACTGGTAAAGAGCGAGGGGCGACGAACGGAGCGTACGAAAGGTAGGGGGAGAGGGAGGTCAGCCAAGGCCGGTATAGGGGGGCGAGGTTGCAAAATATGTTGTAGAAATGGGGTGGCGAATGAATGCGGTCGTCCCGTAGACTAGCGATTTTATTGATCTTTTTTCCACCCTTCGGATACGCGCGCGGCTCGCTTAATTAAGCGACCGAACTATAAGGTCGTATACACCTCTGGCGAAGTATTTCGACGGAGTGGAGGGGTGCCGGGTTGTCGAGATAACTTTTCCGAACAATTTTTAATGTATTTTCAGAGCGATTGATATATATATGTATATGTATATGTATGATATATATATGTATATGTATGATATATACAGTTTGCGTTTTCGATCGATCAAGCTTCTGATGGTATACGTGAAATTGATAAAAATGTATTCGATGCATAGATACAGTTTCTATGGATTCTGAGAGTTATCGCGATAAATTTTTCACGAATCAAGCAAATGCGAGCGATTAATTTTATTTAGTTCGTCCATCGTACGATATCGCGGAAAATATTGATCGCTTGTGTAAACATTAATCATCGCGGTATTAAATCGATATAAATTGACGCAAATGATTAGCGATAGTGTGAGATAATGAAAACGGATAAATCGTTATTCGTTTTTTGATTGACGGAACGTTATCGGTCGATCGTAAATTTTCAGACGTCATCATTCGTAATAATTTATTAGCGTTTCGGACGTGAAAACCCATAAAGATCTCGCGAAATTGTGAGATATTGTGTCTTATCACTTTCCAGTTCCGACTCGTTCGATCCCGAGGGCAAGCCGGTGGGATTCGAATTAGTGTTTATGGCACCCATGGGCGTGCGACAAAATCCCTTTCTGCGGAATGATTGCAACAGTCTCTGACAAGCATTAGATGCCATTAGGTGTCATCATTTTTTCTAATGTCGCTTCGATAAATATCTATTTATTTTCTTTAAAATAATTTTTGATATTTTAGACAAACATACGGTATATTGTACAATGTATATTGTTAAATGCTGCGTAAAATATTATATTTATACAATATTATATCATGAGTTTTTATATACCTGTCATTATGCAACGAGTAATTAACTGTCAAATAGTTAATTATATGCAGTTGATCTTCTCGCTTGGGAAATTTAAATGCATCAGTATGCATTCTGGCTTGGCCGATATTTTCTAGCCTAATCGGGAAATCGGTCACGCCGTAAATCTTTAAATAAACACGATTAATCGCTCTCGACAAGTTTGCTTCCCAAACTTCACAGCGGCGTAGCGGGCTTAAAATGGATTTACTCGATCCGAATGCATTAACGACGGGAGAGAGAAGTAGTTGCTGCGCTCTCAAAGAGTCCGTCGGTTGGGAGCGAGTGCTAATTAACGATTCGATCACGAAGCTTCCGGCGCCGGTAGACAACGTCGTCACCTCCACCGGATTCTCTTTGATCCTCTTCTATCTCCGTTTCATTCTCTTATTCGCGTCTCCCTTTTCCGCCAACCTTTCCACCTACACATCGTCCGCGGATATCACATATAGACGGCGCATACAGATGCTTGGAGGTACCAAAGCCAGCGTACGTCCGCAGCGACGTGTCAAAAAGCACGTTAATTGCAAAAAGCACGCCCCCTTGTTCTTTGAAAGCTTAAGATTTATGCATTGAAACTCGCGGCCGCGTCGCCAGAATGCAGAATTTAATTTTTCATCTGCACGTATATAATTTGCTTTGAAAAGAAATGTTTCCCAAGACTAGGAAGGTCGATCGATGTAAAGTGCATGGAGGATGAAAAATGAAAAAAGTAAAGGATTACGCGACTCGATCATACCGACGTGTTCGTCTCTATCCCCCGTAAGACCGCGTCTCGAATCTCATCGTCTGTCTACTCGCCCTTCCAAGGACCAATCCCCGAGCTCGTACGCAAAAGGGGAGGACATGCGCCCGCAGACAAGAGATCTAATATACCCGTCGGTTACATTAGCCGGATTTAATTTAAGCTCCGACCCTACGACGTAAGCATGCCGCTTATGCTCTCTGCCTACCTACCGCGAGTGAGAACACACGTTGGCGCGGGGAAGAACAAGGCCCTTGGAGATGGCGGAGATCGTCGAAAGGTGAAAGAGAGACAGATGGAAGATGGAGGTATGCGATGGTAACGCGAGAGACGCCGCCGCTTTATTGTAATTGCGCTGTCGCGCGAGCAAAACGCCGCTCTCTCTCCACGACTAACCGAGTATTCGCTAATGTCCGACCATTTCAGAAGAGGGACAGCTTCATTAACGCCAAAAAAACCACCCCTTCTTCATCGTACGTCATTTTTTTGTCCGTTCCACGATCAATCCGGTCGGTCCGGAGCAGCTTTGTTCCGTTTTATCCCGATCGAGGTTCGAAACGTAACGATTATCTACACTGTAACACATTATCGAAAAGCGACCACGAAAACACAGGCGAGTACGATAACTTTCTCGAGACGAAGATAGAGACGTCGTCCCTTTACGTACTGTTCTAGGAATGTCGAGATATTTCCTCTCTCGCGGGTTGCTGTTTGCCTGCTATTCGGTCCCGTTTCTCTTTTTCTTACGTCGACAAATACGATACTCTGAGACGCGGGCTAAGCTCATATTTATTTATGAAAGAGGAAGTGGCGCACGGTTTGTCTGCTTGGCGTAGAAATATATACATTCCCGCGTAGCGCGTAAGCGCGTAGGGCGTAAGAGTGGTACACGAAGTGTTCGCGAAAAGTTGCGCGCCGTAGGTTCCCGGGAAACTTTCGACGCGCTCAAGCGAAATCGCACGTTTCATTGTTACTTTTGTACGTTTTTGAGCGACGATATGGTAGACGCTCAGCCGCCGTCGTCGCCGAATGTATGGCGCAAATAAAACTGCCACGTCGGGCGAAGTTACCGTAACCGTTTTTAGTACTTTATGACATCCGTAAATCTCCGCTGGCGCAGGAAGAGGCTCGAATCATTCCGAGGATACCGGCTATCTTCGCTGAAAATTGACGAGGTCACTGTGTCGAGGAAACCAAGTTCCTGCACCCTATGAATAATCGCGCCGGACAATCGGGGTCACGTGTGAACTTCCTTAGATACGTCACGTGCGCGTAAGAAAAATTTATCGCGAAACTTTCCGCCGTCGTTATCGCATACGCGACATTTTCTGATCGTGTAATATTCGTCTGGAATTTTTATGCGATTTCTTTGTTTTCCGTTAAAACAAACTCTTCTATCATAAAATTCTTAAATATATCGATAATTATTTCTATGTTTGTGTGTAAATTATATTAATCATAAAAGGAGAACTTTCTTCGAGACATTTTTGCGCTACTTATAATGTAATATTTTGTAATATTTTATATCAAGACAATCGTATTCCAAAATTGATTTGATTTATTTGAAAATGTATCTGATATTTACAAATTGTTTGTAAGACAAGAAGTATGATTAAATGAAAATCTGAAGAAATTAAGAAAGAAATTATTTTTGATATGCAAATCATATTTCGATGCAAAATGAGAAAATAATTTTTTCAATAATGTACACAACACACATATTATTATTGTTTCAATTTATAATTTATTCCAGTCGAATAAGTTATAAAGTTAAGAAAAAGTTAAATAGAAAAAAACGCCTATTTTTCGTTTAGCGGTTGCAGAGTTAACATGTGTAATATATTTCGAAAATTTACGACACTTATAAACTCCTGCTGTCGTAAGAATTCGGTTTCCTGCGAAAATATCATCTATCTTTAATAAAAAAAATCTGTGAAAAGAGGTTCTCGTTAAAAATTGAGAAACCTCTTGCATCGATTACACGAAGTTTTTGTACTTTAAACAATTGCATTTCAGTAATATTCTTTCTAAAATCCTTTCTTTCACAATCCACAAAAATTCTTTTAGGAATTGATTAAAGTTTTAGGATTAGGTCCAAGAAAAACGTAGAAATCGATCAATAGGGCGAGCTAACGACTCTCGTTACCTTCTACAGCGTGCACTATAATAGTATATCTTCTAAATTCTATTATTTCATGAGAAATATAAATCTCTTCGCTATTATGTGGTAGCAGACAAAAAAAATTCTTACCACCAACTGATTTTAGGAATAGAAAAAACTCCATCTTTTATGACAAAGTTTTTTTTAAAAGGAAAGATTGCAGTGTGTGACTGCGCATAAAATCAAAGGCAATAAAGGTAAACTGTTTTATTCTTTTGTCGCAGATAAATACGAAATAATCTTTTGGCTCTAACTTCAAAAACTTCAATCCTGCCATTAATTTTTATGAAATAATATCTGCACATTTTGCATTTGGAATTTTGATATTTTTCTTCTCTTTCTCTTCCTCTATGTATATATCTTCCTCTATATATATATTTATTATAGAGAGCGCATATTTTTTTACAGTCATGATATTTAATACGCAAAAAATAACCCCTGATAAAATCCCGAATAAAATTATATTTGTAATATTCTCTCTTGCTAACAAAATAATAAATTTGAAATTTTTTTATTTAAAACTGGAAAGACATTAATTTGTTTTAAAAGACATTTATTATGTATATATCTCTCTGTGACTCATCACAGTGTAATTAAAATATGGAAATAAAAAGATAAGGACAGATAATATATATTATAACTACATATATATTAGAACTATGCTATACCAAGAAAACGCG